CAGGCTGTGTCTGGGACCAGCTGGGCTTTTTACACTGGAAGCTGGAGCTCAGGTGCACTTTGCAGGAGCCCCTCTGAGCTGTGGGCGTCCTTTTTCTTGCTCAGTGGTGGAGTTCCTGCCTTCACACCGACTCTGGGCTGATGACTCTGTAACTGGCAGCCCTGGAGTTGTTTTCAGAGATGTTTCTCTGTCCTCTGCACTTTGGTTGTTCCCCAGGGGTGACTCGTCTGCCTGTGTGGTTTGCAGCGTCACCAGAAGCAGACTCCACTGTCGCTTTCCCAGACTGCTGTTTACATTTGGACCCCTGTGTGCTAAGTGGTTGGTTTTGCTAATAGTGGTTAATATTTTACACTTGCATGTGTGACTTGTAGCTGTGATATTTCAATAGAGACATCTGGGTAGTTCAATGTGCATCTGGTTAGTTTGAAATTAGTATTTTTGTGTTTTCAGAGATGTCTGCCATGACAAGAGGATGTGTCATGGCAGAATCTTGCAGAATCCAGCAGCGTGCTGCCTCTGTGTGTCCCTTTAACTGAGCAGTGCGCTGCTGTGGTGTCTCTGCAGATCTCGGCCTGCTGACCACGCCCCAGCTGCACTACGTGGTGTGCTGCCAGAACACAGGGGGACGCTATGGAAAGGCCACCACAGAAGGCTACTACCAGAAGCTCTCCAGGGCTTTTCTGGAACTTGCCAAACAGGTAAACAATCTCTCAAACATGGTTATGATTCAAACAAGTTAATCAAGTAGCATAATCAATTGAGCAGTTCATTTTAGGTAGTATGTCACTCCTCCTTCCTTCCTTTTCTAAGCAAAGGAAATAAAGCTGATTAGAAGTTAGCCTCACTGAAGCAGGGTCCCTTAATGTGGCAGCCACTCACACGTGGGTGTGCACACGGACACCTGTGCATTTGGGGTGTCTGCTGTGCTTTTCGTGGCCTAGAACATCTCCAGGGAAGTTGGGCTTTTCCATCCATCCTCCCGCCCATCCTCACCCCAAATATAAGTTTAATGACAGCAAGGGCTTTGTTCTGGCCAACTCTGCCCACCAGTGACAGACACTCAGTGCTTGTGGATCCAACGGATTAGACCCTCAGTTCTCTTTCCTTTGAAGGCGTCCTGCGGTGGAGATGAGCACAGGACAATAAAAGTCGACTGTGCAAACGGCGTGGGCGCCCTGAAGCTGCGGGAACTGGAGCCCCATCTGGCACAGGCGCTGTCACTGCAGCTGGTTAACGATGGGACCAAAGGGAAGCTCAATCACTTGTGTGGGGCTGACTTTGTGAAAAGCCACCAACAGCCTCCGCAGGGTATGTGGGATGGGAGGTAAATATTTCTTTCCAGAGCTCTCAGAAGCCTTCCTCCCTGATAGACTGCGGCGGCCAGGAGCTAACCACATGGCCAGCCATTGGCAGTACCATGGAAAGCATGGTCTGCTCTCTGTCCTCAGCACTCATGGGCTGCAGGAAGTTGGGTGGGAAGGAATAACCAGAAAGTGGTCCTCAGAGCTTGTGCCTGGACTGGGCTAGGAGCACATCAGCACACAGACCCTGGGCTCTACTCCTGAGTTTCTGGTTCTGGCCGTCAGGGCTAGGATTTGCATAGGGCAGAAATTTGCATTTCTGTCAAGTTCACAGGCAGTTTATTGATGGAGCTGGTCTGGGGATCACTCTGAGAACCGCTGATCTAAAGGACAGTGGATCACAAGCAGCTGGCTTAGATGCCTCACCAGGGTGAGACAGACACACTGCAGAAAGGGAGACGCTCCATCACTGTCAGGGCAGGCAGGGTTTCCATGCTGGGAGGGTGAGGAGGAGGTTGCTCTTGGAGCTGAGCTGTAGGAAGAGGTGCTCTGGATTTACCTGCATTGCAGATGTTAACGTGTTAGCCTGCTGGCCACACTGGCCAGCGTGCCTTGTCTGGTCTGCTATGTGTATCTCTGTGCTGCTGTCTGAAAATTCTGTGGATTCTCTGATGTATCAGAATCACTGACATCTTTTTACCAAAATCAAAACATGTCTGTTCTCACGTGGCATTAATCTCCTGCCGTTGAATAGCTGCCCCTGTTGTAAAGTACGTGCACTCTAGAACTGGACAGAGGCCTAGTAGCTGCCTCTCTGCAGGAAGTGTTCAGTTTCCTGCCCTCAGTGCGAGCCTTTTCCTGACATGCTTGTCTAGACGCTCGCTCCAGGGCAGTGCAGTTCTGTCCCTCTGTTGCGCTGAGCTCCTTTGTGCCCTCTGGTCAGCCCCTCGCTAGTGTCCCACATAGCCTGTCACCACTCAGTCATCCCACGTTGGACGTGTCACTCTGCGGCCGGCCTGGCTGAAGAACAGCTGCATTTTCTAATCAATCTGAGGCAGTGGTTCCCAAACCCGTCCTCTCTCACGGGGGTGATTCTTCGCGCTCAGTGACCAGTGCTGCTTGTTCTTGGTGGTGTGAACACATACAATCGCTCTGTTAGATTAAAGCCCACATCTCAATTACACTGCTGACTCTCGTGCTATGAGGTAACCTGTGTTCAGAAATATCTGTACTTTTGAAAGAAACTGTGGAAAACCTATCTCACCAACCACCTGGCTTATAAAATAGAATTTTATTTTAGTATTATATCAAGTTTCAGCATAAGTAGTTTTTGAATATTCATTTTTCACTTAGCCATGAAAGAATTTGACCTACAAACCCCCCAGTAAACTATATGCTATTTAAAGACAGACATTTATTTTTATTTGAAAAGGTAATTTTAAGAGGAAAACCTACATCTTTTCTATATGGAGTTTACTTTCTGTTTCTTAGATTGAAGTGCATTTTAAATTATCCTGTGTGCTAGGGATGGAGATGAAGTCCAGTGAGAGGTGCTGCTCCTTTGACGGAGACGCAGACAGAATCGTTTACTACTACTGCGATGCCGGCGGCCGCTTCCACCTCATAGACGGGGACAAGATAGCAACGCTGATCGGCACCTTCCTTCAAGAGCTCCTGCTAGAGGTATGGGGGGTCGGCGACCCTGTGAGATAAGATGTATCCCACAGTTGTTTGAATGTAGGAAAGGCACAATTTATGAGAAATTCCTCACATAGGCCTGGAAATTTTAAAAAGTAGTAGTATTCCCGTCATTTCAACATCGGGGCATAGGCTTTGGAACCAAAGGTGCTCTTCTTCTTCAGACTGGCTAAGTCTTATGATCTGAAGATTAATGAAATTTTGCTTTCTTTATAACTGACACATCAGTGAGAGATCTATGATCACTCCCTAAAACTCCAAATTCTAACAGAAAATTTCATCGTCTGAGAGATTTATTTCCTAGGATGATGATGAGCTTAGTAATGGGGGATTTGTTTAGCTCTTTTGGAAATCTCTTTCAGGTTAGCTTTAGGTATTGGATGTAACTGGAAATAATTATAATCTAGAAAAGATATATTTTAAGAATTTAATAAAGACCTTTATCAAAAAAATAAAAGAGTACGGACGCTTAGGCGTGGTGTTTCACGCCTGTAATCCTAACACTCTGAGAGGCCAAGGCAGGTGAATTGCTTGAGCTCACTGAGTTTGAGACCAGCCTGAACAAAAATGAAATCCCTATCTCTACTAAAATAGAAAAATGGAGGCGAGAGGATGCTTGAGCCTGAGTTAGAGGTTGCTGTGAGCTAGGATGTCACAGCACTCTACCCAGGGCAAAAGCTTGAGACTCTGTGTCAAAAAAAAAAGGTGGGGGGAAATTAGGTCACAAGCTTCTTTAATGAAGATTTAAATAGTGCTCAAAAGTATTTTAGGGACTGGGTGCAGTGGCTCAGGCCTGTGATCTGAGCACTTTGGGAGGCTGAGGTAAGAGGATCACTTGAGGCCAGTAGTTCAAGACCAGCCTGGGCAACACAAAAAAATAAAAAAATTAGCCATGGTTATGTGTGGTGGTACATGCCAGTTGTCCCTTGAGCCCAGGAATTCAAGGCTGTGGTGAGCTATGGTGATAAACTGCTCTCCAGCCTGGGTGACAGAGTGAATCCTGGTCTCAAAAAAAAATAAAAGTCTCTACGCTTTTTCTGGTGTACGTGGGAATTTCCATTAGTCATTTATTGCACAAACTCAGGACCGGGCCACAGTTGAACTGGCTGATAAATTTGTTATCCTCCATTTAGAACTCATTAAATTTGCTCCTGACTTTCCATGGTCAGCTGACGTCCGTGTTTTTGTCTAGATTGGAGAAAGCTTAAATCTCGGTGTTGTACAAACTGCATATGCAAATGGGAGCTCAACACGGTATCTGGAGGAAGTTATGAAGGTACGGAACCGTTTTCTCCTACTGGTAGTTTCTCGTGGGATGTTTCTGTGTGGAAAGTATTGTCCTGTGACAGTGAATATTCTCCAGCACAGCTGTTCTCAACCTGTTGGTCGCAACTGGTAGGAACTGTATTAAGGGTTGCAGCGTTAGGAAGGTTGAGAACCACTGCTCTAGTGTGTGACGCTGAGCTGTGTTCACGTGAAGAGAAATGAAAATAAGTGTCGTCGTCCTTGACACAGGATGGGAGCCAGGCGTCCCCTCCACCTTTTCTTAGAGCATTTCCTTTAGAAAACATGTAAATTATTTCCCTTTCCTTTTGAAATGAATGTAAGTCATTTTAAAGGCCACATCAGCCCATTTTACAGGTAGGAATATTTTTCTTTAAGGGCCTGGAGTCACTGTTTTTAAATATAACATCAGGGAAGTTAGCACCCTGCGTCCCTGTCTCATGAGAGCTTCACTTG